GTCCCTCTTGACTGCCCATGCGCGCGAGGCTGTGTAGGCATAGCCTCGAGAGTGCCAGCAGCCAATCCGAGGTGACGCGCATTGCGCCAGAAGCGTGCACACGATGGAAGGACACCTTCCTACTGGCCGTACGATCAGGTCGTCACTGAATGCTTGATACTAAGGCCGCGAGCTATGCAGGTGATCAATTGTGCATCATGGCACGGTCAGCTGCGCCGACAGGCTGTCGCAAGGCGTGATAGCATGGCCGCAAGTATGAGCGGTAGCCCCGCGAGGTACGAGCGGGGCGGTAGCCTTTCTTCACACCGGAGTACTGGTGCATCCAGCCCTCACACACAGAGTCTGGCTCTGCTGTGAAAACGAAAGAGGACGTACGCGCCTACTTTCAAGACAACGCGTTCCTACGACGTGCCTATGGCTGAGCCGCCCAATGGCGCTCGCCCACTTGCCTACCACAGCCGAGCGCCTCGCGCCCGGCTCTGGGCCCCGCGACAACGCTTCGCGCAGTCTTGACAATGGAAACCGACCGGCTCCGCTCCTGCCAGCGGGCCGTCCTGCTTCTGCGACGATTCTGACAGAAAAGTTTTATCGGCCAAGTTGCTTCAGAGCCAACCACAGCTCGAACATGCAGCAGAGAGGGTGAAGTGAGGGTGCCAGGCGGTGCGCCTACATCGGGGCTGCCACGCGGGATCGCTTCCCGACCGTCGCGAGCACTCTGGAAATCCAGTGCCTCTCACCCTCGCACTTCTCTACGCATGTGCCCTTCACCATCCCGTGGGCCCACTGCGGGCCGGATGGAGTGGCGCAGGCTCGCATCACATGCGTGTGAGCGCAGCGGCCTCGCCGAGATACACTCTGATGCGCGGGGGTGCGGACCCGAGGACCGCCAGCCACCAACGGTGCGCTCATAAAACCACTCGCCACCACGGCTCGAGTTGGGAGAAGGGGTGCGGACCCGAGGACCGCCAGCCACCATCGGTGCGCTCACAAGACCACTCGCCACCACGGCTCGAGTTGGGAGAAGGGGTGCGGACCCGAGGACCGCCAGCCACCATCGGTGCGCTCATAAAACCACTCGCCACCACGGCTCGAGTTGGGAGAAGGGGTGCGGACCCGAGGACCGCCAGCCACCATCGGTGCGCTCACAAGACCACTCGCCACCACGGCTCGAGTTGGGAGAAGGGGTGCGGACCCGAGGACCGCCAGCCACCATCGGTGCGCTCACAAGACCACTCGCCACCACGGCTCGAGTTGGGAGAAGGGGTGCGGACCCGAGGACCGCCAGCCACCATCGGTGCGCTCACAAGACCACTCGCCACCACGGCTTGAGTCGGGAGAAGGGGTGCGGACCCGAGGACCGCCAGCCACCATCGTGCGCTCAC